TTTGGTTTTGTTTATAATGAGATTTTTATAGTTGAGTTTTTATAACAATAAATTTAAAAATGATATTTTATTGGAGGCGTGCATACACATGCGCAATAAATATTTTTGTGATGTCAGAGCTTTGCTTTAATTTAACAGTTCTGTATATATTTAACTATTATATTAGAAAATAATAATAATAATAATAATAATAATAATAATAATAATAATAATAATAATAATAATAATAATAATAATAATAATAATAATAATAATAATAATAATAATAATAATAATAATAATAATAATAATAATAATAATAATAATAATAATAATAATAATAATAATAATAATAATAATAATAATAATAATAATAATAATAATAATAATAATAATAATAATAATAATAATAATAATAATAATAATAATAATAATAATAATAATAATAATAATAATAATAATAATAATAATAATAATAATAATAATAATAATAATAATAATAATAATAATAATAATAATAATAATAATAATAATAATAATAATAATAATAATAATAATAATAATAATAAAAGAGGAGGCACAGTGGTGTAGTGGTTAGTGTGTAGGGCTATGTAGTGTAATGGAGAGTAAGATCTATAGTTCGAGCCCCGATGTGGTAAAGCAATTTTTCTGAGAAAAAAAAATTGTTTTAACTGTGCTTCCCGTCCCTGCCCAACCAACGCTGTTTAGGACGGCCAACTTAAGTAGTATGGGGAAAGCGGGGTGCTAAGTGAGGACGAGTTTCTGCCCGACCCGGGTATCGGTACTTCGGTATCGGTGCCCACCTGAGAGTACCCGCAAGGGTGCTCCCACCCGGGGGTGCCTGTAAAAAGGTGCCCCCACCCCGAAGGGATGTCCGCAAGGATGTCCCTTCACCCTTCGAGTAGTTACTCGTCCTCACACGCAATGGCCACTTTTGTTTCAAAAAAATAAAAATCCTATTTCAACAAACACATGTTAGTGGTGAGAAATGGGTGGCAATAGACACATGTTAGTGTTGAGCTTTCTCTAGGGACCGGGACCCCGTAAAAAGGCCACAAAAATATATAAATATGATTACACGTAGTCGTAGGAATAACGGGGGGTGTTCGGGAGGTACCCTCTCAAATAAATCCCGCGTTCAGCAGGTAGGCATTGACTGCAGTTCGTTAAGTATGCATCATATCCCACGCAGTGATGTGCTATGCGGGCAAAGCTGTGATGTAATGCGACCGCAGACTAGTCAACAAAATCAGACTAACCTCCAAAATGTTTCAGTTCAAGCTGGTTCTCAGCAACAACTGACCAATTTGGTTGACAAATCGCAAAAGCGCATGAGATGGACACATGAGATGAATACCTTGATAATGCGCGAATACTACAGATCAACTCGACTCGAATCAAATATGACTGATTACAGAAACCAAATATACTTAGCATTCAAACAAAAATATCCAGAACTAAATGTAACGGAACAAAGGATTGCAGACCAACGGCGATTCTTAGCAAAGAATAATAAAATATCCCCGATTGAATTACAAGAAATCAAACAACAAGTGGCACATGAACTATCATTAAATGAAACAACTGAATTAAATATTACAGTAGAAGTAGTGCCAGAAATAGAAGAGACACCTACAACAACAGATAACAGAAACAATACAAATGATGAAACAAACAGAATAACAGCAGAAAATGAACTAAAAACATCTTTAGAACAATATAAAGACTTTGAAATAGAATTCAGACCTAAATTACCAAAAATAAGAAGTGGCATTAAAACAAGATCTACTATAATAACAATAAATGATATACTTAAAGATTACATCGAAGAAAATATGTCGTTGAGCGCAATTAATACAATAACGTATTGTGCAGCAGTAGCAGTATCGAGACTCTTAGGCTACAAAATAGATCCCATGTCAACAACAAAACCAAATCAAGAAAATGTAATACCTAAATGGCAAAAGCGAATAGAGACACGAATCGAAGGGAAAAGAAAAATAATTGGAAGAATAACGCAAGTGTTAAATGGAAACAAATCAAAAAGAATTAACCAATCATTAAAAGATATATACAGATCATTACAGACAAAACCTGGAAATCCTGAATTTGAATCCATAATCCGAAATTACAACGACACATTAAAACAAACAGTTCAAGCACTATCACAAAGAATCAGAAGATATAAACAACAAAGCGAAAGACGAAAACAAAATACAATGTTCTATAATAACGAAAAAATGTTCTATAGAAATCAAAATAAAATAAATTCAAGCAATATTAACAATACATCACAAATAGATGAAATAGAAAACTACTGGAAAGAAATCTGGAGTAACCCAAAAGAATATAAAGAATCAAATTGGATAAATGATATTGTAGATGAAAATAAAGAAATACCACATATGACTTCAGTAAATATAATTAAAGATGACTTAACCGAAGCCCTCAAGAAATCCCACAATTGGAAAAGCCCAGGACAAGACAAAATACAAAACTTCTGGTACAAACACTTTACAACAGTACATCAACCAATGGCAATAGCAATGGATAAAATAATACAAACAGGACAAACCGATGACTTCCTCACTTCTGGAATAACATATCTACTCCCAAAAACAGAAAATACATCAGATCCCAGTAAATATAGACCCATCACTTGCCTAACAACAATGTATAAAATCTTAACATCCATAATATCAACAAAAATATATAATCATTTAAGCAACAACAACATAATAGCTGAAGAACAAAAAGGCTGTATAAAACACTCTATGGGCTGTAAAGAGCAATTAACAATAGACAATATCATAACAATAAGAGCTCGTCAAAAACATAGAAATCTTGAAATGGCATACATAGACTATAAGAAAGCATTCGATTCAGTCCCTCATAAATGGTTATTAAGAGTGTTAAAACTATATAAAATTGACAACACACTGATAAACACATTAGAAAATATGATGAAAAAATGGAATACTAAATTGTGTGTCAATACAAATAATGGAACAAAAATAAGTACAGAAATAAAAATAAATAGAGGAATATTTCAAGGAGATTCACTCAGTCCTCTGTGGTTCTGCTTAGCCATAAACCCACTGTCATCATTACTTAAAAAGCTAAAAGGCGTAAATCTAAAATCAAGTGATACAAAATATAATCTAACACATCTACTATATATGGACGACTTAAAACTATATGCCGAAAAAGAATCTGATTTAAATGCAATGCTAAAAACAACAGAAACTTTCTCCAATGATATAAATATGGAATTCGGATTAGATAAATGTGCTATAATGAAACTGAAAAGAGGAGTCTATTCTGAAAGAAATCAATACGAAACTGAAAATGGATATATAAAGGCACTAGAAAATGGAGATATATATAAGTACTTAGGAATTAAGCAAATGCATAAATCTAAAATGACAGAAGTTAAAGAAGAAATAAAGAAAACATTAAACCAAAGAATAATAAAAATACTAAAATCTCAACTAAACTCAAACAACAAATTCAAAGCCATAAACACTTGGGCTATACCTGTACTGACATACTCGTTCGGAATAATAAAATGGAGTAAAACAGAACTTGAGACCATTGAAAGACATATAAGGCGACAACTTACAATGTTTGGACTACACCACCCTAGAAGTTCTGTAGCACGACTGTGTGTTAGTAGAAAGCATGGGGGTAGAGGGTTACTAAACATTGTAAGCCTTGAAGCCAAACAGCGAGAATTGCTGAGAAAATACCATCAACAAAAATGCAATGTCTCAGAGCTCCACAAAATAACATCAACACTTGATTACAACTACACACCTCTAAATCTCAGCAATAATGAACATCAAATAGAAATACAAAATGAAAAAGAGAGGATTAACACATGGGCCTCAAAAGAACTCCACGGTAGATACAGAGCAGAACTCAACCAAACACACGTAGACGAAGAAATGTCTACAAAATGGTTGAAGTACGCCGGTCTTCATGGAGAGACAGAGGGGTTCATGATGGCAATACAAGATCGAGTGATTCCGACACGAAACCATCAGAAATACATCCAAAAGCTAAATATACCAACAGACAAGTGCAGGATGTGTCATATGGAGCCCGAAACAATAGAACATATACTAAACGGGTGTAAAGTACTCACAAACACCGAGTACCTAAGCCGTCACAACCAAGTAGCCAAAATCATACATCAGGAATTGGCAATAAGATTCGGACTAATCAAAGAACCATTACCATACTATAGATACGAACCACAAAGTGTAATGGAAAGCAACAGAGCCAAGCTCTACTGGGATAAAGAAATAAGAACAGATAAGACTGTGGCCCACAACCGCCCAGATATAGTACTAGTAGACAAACATCAAGATAAGGCGTACATAATAGACATAGCGGTCCCACTAACACACAAACTACAGGACACGCATAGTGAGAAACGCCGAAAATATACAGACTTGGCCTATGAGATCAATAAGATGTGGCGCATTAAGAAAGTTGAAATCATACCTATAATCCTGTCATCAATGGCCGTAATACCGAAAAATCTGGCCCTAAGTTTGGAATCACTGGAAATCAGAAAAACTAAGATCTATGAAATGCAAAAAGCAGTGATACTTCAGAGTTGTAGAACAGTCAGAAAAGTACTAGACTTGAGTTGAGTCTAACCAGTCGTGTCTCTGCCACCAAAAGTGGCCGACACAACTGTGATCACACCGGAACAACCGTGATATACAAAAACAATAATAATAATAATAATAATAATAATAATAATAATAATAATAATAATACAATATAATTGTAAAAATTATATTAATAAACAAAAAAATATTATCCGAATTTAAATTATTATAAAATAATTTTTTAATACCTTATGCTATAGAAAAATAATTTTAGGTTAAAATCTAAAATTTTATTAATATTTTTTTGTTTACTATTGTTAACTATTTTTATTATTTATTAATAAATTTTTAAAAAATTATTTTTTCTACAGTCAACCGTTTTAGACATTGATTTTAATTAATTCATAAAACAATTTATAATCATTTAGTTTAAGCATATTTAGGTCGTTATGAAAATTTTCTGCATTAAAAATTTCGTCAAATGTTATTAACCATCCATCAGTATCGTCAATAATTTGTGAACAATTAGGTCTATCGATTGGTTTTGTTGATGTAATTAATCGTAATTGTTTAGCTAGATGATTTATTTTATCGTATAAATTGTGTCCAAAGTAGCTGTCAATTGTTTCGGGTCTAAAATACAAAATAAAAATAAATAATAATTTATTACAAATAATTACAAATAATTTCATCTATAATTTTTATGTTTATCAATGTCAATTAATTTATTGTTAATTAATTATTTAATTTATTGTAAATTAATTATTTAATTTATTTTAAATTAATTATTTAATTTATTGTAAATTAATTATTTAATTAATTTTTTACAAAAATAAATTACTCAAAATTAAATCTATAATATGTTATCTACAGTTTAAACCTACTTATATTTAGTATACTTACTCTGGTATACATATATTGAATAATTGTTCGCCAATAATACCCAGACTGTAGACATCGGATTTTTGGCTATACTGTCCACCGCAACGAACTTCAGGTGCCATATAAGATGGTGTACCTTTGAAACAACATATATCGTTATTATCATTGCAAACAGTGGCCAGTCCTAGATCGGCCAGTTTTAGCCGATAGTCAATAAAACTATTGTTTGCCAATTGTTTTTTGTAGCCAACAATCAGTATGTTATCCGGTTTCAAATCCGTATGTATGAATGGTTTAGGTTTTAGTTGATGTATATGTTGTACACATTCTACTAATTGATAGTATAGTAGACCGGATATATAATATTCCAAACTAGACATTAGACGTTTAGTTTTAAGCGGTTTGGTTTCGATTGGATAATTATTATTGAAAATTTCGTTTTTCTTGTCTATAATTGTTTTCAAATTATCCAGGCAATATTCCATCTGGATGAAATAGGTTTGATTTTCAAACCACGAAAATATATGGTCGACAACATATGGTGAACGGCATCTAATCAACGATTGCATCTCTTTTTGATAGTTTAAGTAATCAGTTATTTGTTTTTCTATTTTTTTAAAAATAACAAATAAATAATTTATTTAACTAAAAATTAATTATATAATAATGATAATACCATTAAATTTTATCGATTTAATAGCATATATAATGCCATTAGATTTATTTTTGACACGATAAACATTACCAAATGCACCATGGCCAATTGTTTCCAAAACCTGAAAATCTCTATCTAGTTTTAATTGTCGACCTAAATTTTAATAAATATAGTTAATTATTATTAATTATTATTAATTATTATTAATTATTATTAATTATTATTAATTATTATTAATTATTATTAATTATTATTAATTATTATTAATTATTATTAATTATTATTAATTATTATTAATTATTATTAATTATTATTAATTATTATTAATTATTATTAATTATTATTAATTATTATTAATTATTATTAATTATTATTAATTATTATTAATTATTATTAATTATTATTAATTATTATTAATTATTATTAATTATTATTAATTATTAAATGTAAAATTAATGTTTAGTTTACCTGCTGTTTTACAGTAATTATTAGCATAATTTGTGACTATTGAAAAATTTTGCAACAATTTATTAATTGTTATCTTATCTAGATTATTGTCATCATTCAATTGATGAAAATTATAGGTTTTATAGGTTAAACCTAATTCATGGGCGTAGTAGTCGAAAAAAAATCTATAAACTGTTTGCTTAAATTGATTACTATCTGTTAATTGATAAACATTATTATCATTTTCAAGCATAACCAACAATATAGCATTATTATTATTATTATTATTATTATTATTATTATTATTATTATTATTATTATTATTATTATTATTAGTAGTAGTAGTAGTAGTAGTAGTAGTAGTAGTAGTAGTAGTAGTATTTTCAACTTTATAATAATGTGTAGATAAATGTTCAATAGCCAATATTTTAGCAGGTACATTGTCTACTAAAATAGGTTGTATTTGAAATTTATGATCAGCAGTAGCAGCATCAGCACCGTTAGCTGTAGCAGTGGACAGTTCACCGCAATAGTACAATTGGCCGCTAACGGATAGGAAATGTGATTTACTATCGGCCAAACATATCGATTGGATACGAATATTAGCTAAACTTTGTATCAGTTGTGGCCGATAAACATCATCGCAGTGCCGATGACCTAGATAATAATTATAATTACGACCCCAACTGTATACCTGGCCCGTACTGGTTAGGGCATAGGATGACCAATCGCAACAGTATATGTCCACAATTGGCTCCTGGATGTCTACTTTGGCAAGCATATGCATTTTAATATTGTTGTCCAGGCTATTGTTGCCCAATTGACCGTACAAGTTTGCCCCAATACCGTATAATTGCCCTGTTGTGGCCAAAATCAGGGCATGCTGTATGGCCAGGCTAATTTTCAGGACCTTAAAAGGAAACTCCAGTGCCCTGGGTCGTTTGATAAAATCAACATCAGTTGGTTCAAAACCGGGATGTAGTATACGATCGAAACGGCCCCACATTAGTACAACATTGAAGTCCGGTCCGCCAATGGCTACCGTATAGTAATCTTCAACCAATAGCTCATGTATGTTACGATTGCATAGGTCATCGATTAGTACAGGTGTTTCAACTGGTTCCGTATGACCCAGTCCCAATTTATACCAATAGTTTGAACCGTAACCGTAAACATGGTCAGGGTGATCCAGGGCAAATATAACATTATAACCATTACGATCGCTGAATACATGAAACCATTTTAGTTTTGTGTTTTGATAAATAACTGTCATAACCGACATTATATTTAATTATAATTTTTAATTATAATTAATTCATTAAAATAATAATTAAATTATTAATTAAATTATAACTAACAATATGAATTTTACACTAACCATAGCTCTACAGTACTGTACTGTATATTAACTAAACTATATGTACTAAACTAAACTAAAAGTATGAAATAAATTTTTTTTAACTTAAATAGAACTAAAATTATTATTTTATAAAAAATAAATATTTCTCTAACTGGTTGTAATAATATTATTTTTTTTTAATTTTAAGTACAACTTTATATCAGTTATAGTCACTTTAAATAACTATATTATATATATATATATATATATTAAAATATAAATAAAATACTTCAACTTAATTGTTTTAGATAAAATCTATTATTTTAATAATATATCGTATATATGAATAAATTCACATATATTTTTATTTTAGTTGTTAACCTTATTATATCTAAATTTATCAATTATTTAATTATATTCAATGGTGTGGAAAATGATTAATTTATTGAAACTAATTAATTAAACACAATAATATTTATATTACTCTTATATATTTATATCTAATAATATAAAATATTTTCTATTTAATAATAATAATTTCTTAATTAGTATATATATTAGACATAGATATAATTATATTACTATCTACAATAAATAAATTAGACATTATATATATATATTATCAAATAAGTAATAGTCGATTTGATGATAATATTAATTAATTAATATTGATAGATAAAAAAATATTTATTTTATAATGAATTTTAATAAATTTTATATAAATTTTTGTTACCTAGCTAAAATAAAATAATAATAATAATAATAATATACATATAGATATAATAATAAATTTTGATAAAATTAGTAAATTTTATATATTAATATATATAAACAGTATTTTGTTGTTACTATAAAGTTTTATTATTAATTAATAATTTTTTAAATAAATATATACTAATTTATCTATTTTTATACTAAATAAATAATAGTGATAATAAAAGTAATATTTTTTTTTGTAAATGTAAAATTAATTAAATTACATTTACAGCGTTTAAAAACAATTGTAAAAAAATACCTGTATACCTGGTGTGCATGCAATCTAATTGTTTTCAATTTTTATTATTTAATAATACTACAATGTATGCAATACAATGTATTTACTAAAATATACTTAGTTATTACTATTAAAATACAATTATCTAAAGTTTTATTTGTTATAAACATATTATATACCTGTAATTTATTTATCGATAAAATTATTACCTGATTTTAATAAATTTGATAAAATTGTATATTTTTTGATGAATATCATGTCTTGTTTTGCATTTTTTAATTATTTAAAAACTTTTAATTAATTTTTGTAAAACATTCACGAACATACATACATATTTAGTTATAAAATGTTAAATGTTACTGTATATTAATTATAGTAAATTTAAAGTAATATTCCTATAAACTATACTAATGACTCTATTATTGTATTAAAAAAATACTATGAAATAATATATAAATGTTAAAAAAATATACAGAATATTTCCATAATATTTAATATAAGTTTCACAAATTATTACATTTTATGATATCATTTATAATCCAGTGAATCACTTTTTTTTGTATATAATATTATAAATTACAAATTGTAATTTACAATAGTATTAATAACCTTATTATAAACTTTTACTATAATAATACTTATGTTAAATGTTGAAAATATTTAATCAATTAATATTTAATATTATATTTTATTATATTATAAATGTATGGAAAAAAACTAGTCATATATTATTTATCACCAGTTTTTTTTGGGAGGTAATAGTTTGTTGACAAATATAGTAAATTCCCAGTTATTTATTAAAAATAAATATTTCAATTTAAATAATTTAATATATTTAAACAATAAAAGCTAATCTCTAGTGACGTCAAGTGTTTAATTAATTGTAAAAATAATTTATATAAAGTTTAACATAATATGTATTTTTTTATACAAACACATACATAATTAGTTATAAAATGTTATAAATTTATTGTATATTAATTAATTAATAATATTAATATAAACTATTGTAACGGTATTGCCAGTCAACTAATTAGTAGAATTGTAATTTGTCTCTAAACTTGTATATATATTTTTAGTCATAAGTAAAACATTACTATCTATTAATGTTTTATATGTTTTTTGATAATTACTGTATATATGTTTTTTTAAAAAAATATTTTTTCTACAATAGTTTTGACTAATGTTTTTACTAACTCATGAAAGAAGTATCCCGTATCTGAATTCTATATGTCATTCTGTCTGCATCTTAATTGAATTCAGATTTGTATTAAGCATCAAAAAATAAGGTATAGGAGATTAGTATAAAAAAATTTTGATATCTATTCAGGAACATTCAGATAAAATGGCGGCCAAAGTACAAAATTTTTTTTTATTGTTATACAGAATCATTTGATACCTTACATGACTAAAGTTGCGTTTATTTTGTCATTTGATTTTAATTTCGTATTTACTTTTTGTATAAGTAGTTCGTATGGAGAAATACTTTCTAGCATTCTCAACTGGTTTTTTTTTAAATATTATTTTTGTTGTTGGTATAAATGTCTACATTTTTGAAATTTTAGTTTAGACTCTAAGCAGACGGCAAGTGAGTCAGTCAGTCGTATACTGAAAGTATTATAATATAATAATAATAATATGATTTAATTAATTAATTAATGTTGTGTTGTTTGCTAAGTGTTTGGTATCGCCTATTGGGTGAGTGTTTGGATGTGCCGACGGTTAGGTTACCGATTGGCCCGAAAAAAATCTTTATTGGGAGGAGGGGTAGAGATCTTAAGAAAGTTCGCATTTAGATATTTTATTTTTTAGTGGTGGTAGTGGGGGGGGGTAGCGGTTAGGGACATTTGAACAATTGCGAACATTGGGGTTAGGGAGGGGGTCTAGATTTCTTTAAAAAATGCGAACGTAATATGTAAACATCTTCATAACATAATTTTTTTTAACACCCATTCAATTACTAAACTGTCGTCAAATCTAATGATACAAGTTGTATCATACAACCCCCCCTCAACCGCTATAATATTATCAATAGATTAGTCATTATACAGTTTACGACACTTAAAAGTTTAAATTTGAGTAATATTATATAATGCTTTAGCCAGGGTACTTTATATAATTTACCTAATATAAGGTAACTGTACAGTATATTAAGTTACCTTGCTTAGTGTAAAGTTAACTGTTCAGGATATTACTCAAATTTAAACTTTTAATTGGCAGTATCTGTATAATGTAATGATTTAGCAAGGTACTGTACTTTATATATAACTTACCTAATATTATGGTAATTGATATACTAAGTTACCTTGCTTGTTAGCCAAAAGTTAAATTTAGACGATATTTAATTAAAATTTAAACTTAATTGACATTATCTGTATATACGGTATACTGTATTAATTGCTTATTGTATGACAAGATTATTGTATTTAAATAATAGTTAGTATCAGTTAATTAAGATAAATACCGATATGAGTGAACAGTCATCAACATCGATGAAGAAGTCGAAAAAGACTAATAATGTCCAACAAGTTGTCCGAAAAACAACGACAGAAATTGGTGTCGAAGAAGAAGATGAAGAAGTAGTAGACAACAGTTGGCGAAAAAGTTTCGACAGATTTGGCGACGATTTGGCACAACTTCTGTTGTCTTATCTGTCAATCTGTCAGCGATTCCGCTGCGAATGTGTATCGAAACAATGGCAACAAGTTATCTATGAGTTGCAGACTTTATTGGATACCAATGATGACGAACTCTTTGGTGGACAACAACAACTGATGGCAACAAACCATCACCGAAAACAACCGATTGAGACAATAGAGACCGTACTGAACAAGTGTCCGAACATAACCTATATATACATTGATATGAGTAAACCATTTGTTGGTAAACTTATTGAACTAATTGCCGCTAAAAACTGTCAAAATTTAGACAAATTATATACAATAACTAATTACTATCACTTGAGATCTGATCCAATGATTCCATCAGTCAATACTTTGGATAACATTGTCTTCGATAGTCAGTATTATCCACCGTTTAGACCAATGCACGGGTCATTTTATGGCAACAAAGCTGATAAATTTAGTCAACAATTATCTATACAACCAATTAATAGTTATCTAAATACTGTTACGTATGTCAAACAAAATAATTTATTTTCAATTATTTTTGCTAACCATCGACAACACGATTACTATTATCTCAGACAATTGAAATCAATTTATTTCAACTATAGTTTATTAAGTGGAAAAAATTACGATAACTTTGTCGATAATTGTGCCAATAGTTTACTGAAATTGCATGTCGTTATCAATGCATACACTAATGTGGTGTCATTGAAGAGATTGATGACGGGTTTGTCACGGATGACACTAATGAATGATTTGCTAATTGAAAACAAAGGATTACCGATAATAGGATTCGGTGATCAACTGAAACTGATTGGCCAACACTGTCGACAACTACGTAGACTAGCTTTAGATATGAATATAGGATCCGTTGTCAATGCCGACAATAACACCAACAATAACAACATATTGACCACAATTAACCAACACTTTGGTAGTCATCTCCGGTGTCTGGAGTTTGCATACAATCCCAGTGAACACAATAGTTTCGATTGTCTAACACTGGATCAGATGAAACAGTTGAGACGTTTATCGTATTATCGATATGATTGGCATTTACGTGACAATAGTTTTTTCGTTAAACTTGTCCATCAGTTACCACGTCTTGTCTGTCTATCGAATACCAGAAGAAATGGATTAATGTCTTCATCGACGACAACAACAACAACAACACCTAAATTCAAGAAATCTTATTTGTTTTCATATTTCGATAAAAAAGTGACTCAATTAAGCCAATTGTTGGACAATAAATCGCAACTTAAATGTATTGAATACAATGGTAACAGATATTTGTTGAAATATCGGCCATAAATACATATAGTGTAGTGTAGTGTTGGTAAAAAAAATAAGTGAGAAATTTCTGGAAAGTTTCTATTGAATTTTTTTTTGTCTAATGGGATCCCAAATGTGTTTAATTTTGTTTTCTCGATAGTTGTTAAATTGTAACAATACATTGCTTTTACAATTAACTATTAAGTATTAGTATTTTAATTATTAATTACATGAAAATATTAATTTATTTAATTACATTAAACTAATATAAATATATAAATAAAATGATAAATAAAGTTGTTTTAATTTAACTTTACATTATTATATTATTATTACTAATAATCATAACTTATAATAAAAATTATTATATTTAAATATTTTTTGAAATATATACAAAATGTATACTGCACTGTGTATGAAATTTATGTAATTTTCTTACATTAAAAATAATTTATATAAAATATAATTAATATTAATAAGTGATTAATTATTTAATTTATTTAATTAATATTATATTACGAATTAGCAAAAAAAAGTTTATAACAAATATAGTAAATTCTCAGTTATTCATTGGAAATCTCTGTTTTTAAACAAGTATTGAATAATTTTACAATAATTTTAATTTATATTTTTTAATAGCATAGGTTTGTGATCTTAAGTTTATACAGTATCCAAATAGACTATTGATATATAAAATCTAGAGTTGGGATCAAAATATGTCTAAATCATTATATAAATGTTGTTGAATAATAAAAAAATGTTTGTATAAAAATACCTTCAATTTATTAGCAATATATTGATTATCTATTAATTATTATTTATATACAGTATATAAATTTATAATTGTATAATCCATAACAATTTCTATGATTTTTTTCTAGCATAAATAGAAAGTTATTTATTTTAATATATAATATTTATTTAATTTATTAAATTACTATACTATATTATTTGTTAATTATGGGTATAAAAAATATATATAATAAAAACAATTAAATAATATACAATTAATTTTTAACATTAATTTAATTATTAATATACTAGTATATTATGTGAAATAATTATTAAAATTTAGATTTATATTTTTAATTAAGTATGTTAATTGTTATACGAAAAAACTTTTAATAACTAAAAAACAATTTAATAGTAGTTTTTATTATTTAGATAAAAACTAAAAATCATTAATATGTAATATTTTTAATAAAAATATTTATATATTGAGTTAGTTAATGACTAATTTAATGAAATCCACATAATTTTTTCAGTTTTTCTTATAATTTAAAAAATAACAATAATAATGATTTACTTTAATTATCACAAATAAATATATAGGTTAAACAAGACTACTATTTAATAAAAAATAATGTTTAAATACACTTTAAATAATATTTGAATAAAATTAAATATATTGTGTATGCATTTGTTTGATCCAATTTATAATTTTTATATAATAATAAATTGTATTAAAAAATATTGTTATTAAATGGCAAATCAATATATTTCTAATAAAATGGAAACATTTTTATTGAAACATTTTGTTATACATCGGACTATTGATGATTACGTTAATCATCGAAAACATAGGAAACGTTATATTTATAATTATATTATGAAATTATCGATATTATTGATTATCTTTAGATATACTATATCGGCTATTGCTAACCGTCCTCATGTTCGAGCACTGGTAGTCGATGTTAGCTATATAATGGGTAATCCAATATTATTATCATCTTTATTCAGCGATTGTACATTAGTTATATATATTGTTGGACTTATCTATCAATACCATGAATGGACAAATCGATGGTATTTTCTGGACTTTCTAAACGATTACAAACAAAATAAACTGAGACTACCGTTAAATACAACTAATAATAATAAGTTTAGTAAATATTTGAAATTTTTGGCCAAACACTATATAATTCAAACCTATTGGGCTCAAGTTTTACTAATTAATGTCTATTTTATATATGCAATGATAAAGGTATATATGGATACCGATTCCGGATTCAATATATTAATGATATTGATTGCTATAGTAGACAACTATTACTGTATTGAACAGTTAGCTGCATTGGCCAACACTTGTTTGATCACATTTTTTATGATTAGTTATTATTTGAAATTAAAATTTTTGGAAATTCATACAAATCTAGTAATTGGTATAAATAGATCAGATTATCGATTAATAAATCGGTCAATTAATAAACATAACTCGTTATATATAATTGTACGAAAATCTAATCATACATTTCAATATATATTATTTCTAATGTATTATCTAGCAGTGCCAGGTTTTGAACTATTCCTATATTTTATAGGCCGTCCCGATACGGCACCTGTATCCCGGTACATATTTGGTTTGATATTTGTACTATTATTTAGTATACTATTTATGATGAATTTGATGTCCACTTGGATATCCACTTACGCTCACAAACCATACGCTATACTCTATAAAGCAATTATTGCTAATAATAATTCAAATTCATTACAATTCAAATTAAAATTATTGAAATTTATTGAACACTTAACGGCACCGGAGATCGGGTTTTATTGTTTGAATATATTTCCAATGAATAACTGGGAGTTTACTATATTTGTTATCAACTTTTTTGCTAATCATTTATTGATATTATTAAATTTTAAATAAATATTTTGTTTTGTAAAATAATATAATATATAATTAATTAATTTTTATTTATTGTTTGCAACATTTATTCTATATTTATATATATAATTAATTGTGTTCATGAATTTTTTTGTTATTTTTTTTATTTTAAATATAAATCATTATTTATTATTATTTTCAAAACATTTTTAATAGTCTTTTATTTTATAATAAATTATTATGAAATAAAATTTTATAAATTATTATTTACAGTTGTATTAAGGTATTATTTATAATAATATTATATAAATAATATATAATAATTATTTTTTTAATTTATAGTCCATTAGTAAAGAAAATTTAAATTTTATAAAAATAAAAACTAAAATACAAAAAAAAAATCATTAATAATAAAAGTTTGATACAACTTATTATGAATGAAAAGTTTTTAAATAAAACTTATAATAAATTAAAATAAATTTATATACTTTTATAGAAATTAAAAATTTATTTAAATATAAATATTTTTATAAAATTTAATGATAATTTAGACATATTATTAACAAAATCATTTCTTAATGATTCATTAATTGTCAAAAGCAAATGTTGTTTTTTTTTGAAAAAATATTTATAAAATTCTATATATATATTTATTAATGTAAATAATTTATCTAATGTTTAAAAAATTTTAAAATAGACTAAAAAATATGCTCTCTCTCTCTCTCTCTCTCTCTCTCTCTCTCTCTCTCTCTCTAAATCTAATTTATAAATTTTATATAATATAAAATGTTTCATTAAATAAATATTATTAACATTTATTTAAATGGCAAATCAATATATTGCTAACAAATTGGAAACATTTTTGTTCAAACACTATGTTATCCATCGGACTATTGATGACTATGTCGATCATCGCAAACATAGGAAACGACATCTAATTAATTGTATTATTAAACTATCGATACTATTGGCTTCTCTACGCTATTGTATTTCGGTAATAGCTAACCGTCCACAAATCCGAGCACTGGTAGTCGATGCAACCTACATAATGGGTAATACAAGATTGCTAGCATCGTTATTAAGTGCCAGTATATTAGTAATGTTTTTAATGGGACTTATCTTTCAATATCACGAATGCACTAATCAATGGTATTTTCTAGACTTTCTAAATGATTATAAAAACAATAAACTGAGACTACAGTTAAAAACAAGTAATAATAATAATAATAATAATAAGTTTAGTAAATATTTGAAATTTTTGGTCAAATACTATATAAATCAGACTTATTGGGCTAATGTTATACTAATTAATGGCTATTTTCTGTACGCAATGCTAGAGGTATATATGGATCCAGATTCTGGATTCAATATATTAATGATATTGATTGCTATTGTAAACAATTATTCATGTATTGAACAATTGGCTGCACTGGCCAACAGTTGCTTGATATCATTTTTTATGATAAGTTATTATTTGAAATTAAAATTTTTGGAAATTAATAATAATCTAGTAATTGGTATAAATAGATCAGATTATAGACTTATAAATCGGGCTATTAATAAACATAGCCTATTATATAAAATTGTCCAAAAATGTAATCATACATATAAATTAATATTTTTTGTATTATATTATTTGGCAACACCAACTTTTGAACTATTTATATATTTTATATGCCATCCCGATACGGCACCTGTATCCCGATATATTTTTAGCTGTATATTTCTAATATTTTTTATTGTACTATTTATGATGAATTTGATGTCTACTTGGATATCCACTTATGCTCACAAACCATACTCTATAATCTATAAATCAATAATTGTTAAAAATAGACATTCAGTTAAACAAAAATTAAAATTATTGAAATTTATTGAACACTTAACGGCACCAGAGATTGGCATTTATTGTTTGAATTTATTTCCAATGAATAATTTGGAGTTTACTTTATTTGTTATTAATTTTGTTGCAAATCATTTATTAATACTAATTAACTTTACATAATTAAAATAATATATTCAAAACAATAAATTTGAGTAATAATTTTATTTTTAAAATTATATTTTTGTTATCTATTATTTGTATTAGTTTGTGTTTTTAAAATAATTGCCTAATGTTTTCACAAAACATATATTTATATAGTTTAAATATTAATAATTTATTTAATAATGTAATCAATATATTATAATTATATTTTCTAGATTTAAATTAGTATAAATATAATACAATATATAAGTTTTAATTCAAAATAATAATACATTAGTTGTTTAGTATAATAATTTACATTATTATTATTATATAATAATTTAACAATAATACAACTAATAAATAAATAATAATAAAATATATTTATTATCATTATATTCATTATCACTGATATAATTATGTTATTATTTTAGTTAATAAGAAAATTAATTGTTTTTTTTAAATTAACATAACTATAAATATGACTATTAAATACTGTATGAAATAATATTATTTTTTTCTTCTAATAAAATACATAATAATTAAAATGTACTAAAAATACTAAGAAATAAATAA